TTCATAGTACGCAATCACATCATCAGTGAAGAAAGATAATTTGACTTCTTTTCCTATTTGAATTCATTTTATTTCTTTGTCTTGTCTGACTTCTCTGGCTAGGACTTCCAGTATTAACGTCAAATAGGAGACCTGAAATAGCCATCTTTATCTTGTTCCAGTTTTCAAAGGAAATGCTTCCAATTTCTGCCCATTCAGTATAATGTTGGCTGTGGGGTTTCTATAGATGGCCCTCATTATTTTGAGATATGTTTCTTTGATGCCAAATCTGTTCAGGGTTTTTATCATGAAGGAATGTTAGACTTCATTGACAGCTTTTTCTGCATTTATTTAAATGATCATGTAGTTTTTGCTTTTTAATTCTGGAGTGGAGAAAAACTTAGTTTATTCTCCATGTTTGGTTGACAAGCCTGGTCTGCTGGTTGATGATTTTGTTTGTTTGTTTTGTTTTGTTTTGTTTTTTGTCAAGTGTAGAGATCTCTCTAGTGAGCATCTACATGGGTAATAAAATTTATTAGGAAGAGAACTGATTTTATCCAAATTTGCTTTATCCAAATATCCACTGAAGGAGCTCGTTTTATATTCCAGTCCAAGACCTACTAAAATGATCACATCATTAGCTATAGCTCAGGCTATACCTGGCTATAGTCGGGTAGGTTTACAGTCTTGCAACATGCCCTGCTAAAATGATGTACCTAACAGCGGCAATTCCCATTATGGTTTAGGGGTTAAGACTAGCAGAGGTGCAAATAGACAATTAGCCAGTACCAATAATATGTTCAACAGCAGGAGCCATAGCAGTAAAGGCTACAGGGGCGTGAAGATATCCACCCATAATCAAGCTTGGGCAAATCTGGGTGGTGACAAATATTCTCTTCTTAACCATACTCCTGTCAGGCTCCTCTGAAATCTTTTCTCAACTGGGCCCTGACTTTTGATCTTTTGTGTTCTTCTCTGCATCATCCAGTTTTACAAAAAATCTTATTGAGTCAGTTTATCAAAAATTCCTCACCCTTGGTCTGACCATCCTTGATATCTTAACACTCTGGCCTGCCTTCAGCAAAAATTCTATTAGGTCAGTTTAGCAAAAAATTACCGTACCTCTTAGTAGTTTTTTATCCACTGATCCCCTACTCTGCACCTTGGTTTATTGTGCAGTAAGCCCTCATTTAAGGTTGTTTATAGGTTCTTGGAAACTGCAGGTCTAAGTGAAATGACATCTAAAAAAAACAATTTTCTTTTTTTCATCAATGTTAGAATAAAACGTAGTTGAACAAAATGACATTGAGGATCTGTTGTATGTTGTTTCACTTAAAGTCACCATTTCCAAAAACCTCTCAGTGATGTTAAGTGAGAACTTGCTGTATTTACAGTTGAGTTCAATCTCTTCTACTCTTTAAATAAAGTCTTTCTTACTGTACATCTTTAGTAAGTATCATAAATTTTTTTCTTAACAGTGGTGGTTGCCTCAGACTCCAAACCAGCAAGCATTATCTATTTTTCCCTCATCTTAGTGTTCGGGATCACACAGGTCATAGTCAACTGTGCACCAGTATCTAAAATGTCCAAGAAGTACAATTTTCTTTTATCTGTTTATTGAATGTTAACCTTGGCATAGAGCCTCTGGTACCTCCTAGGAAGAGAGGAACATCACCTTAAGTCCCAGTTTTGTTTATTTCTGAAAGCTGAGAAATCTGGGCAAAACAGGGCCCTCTAACTCACCCCCAGACCCACCGAGAGAGGCGGGGGAAAGCACCTTAGATGAGTCACAGAGGCTGTCTATAAAGATTTAGACACGTTTTCTGGGATAGAGGGAGGGATTAGAGAGCATGGTCCAGGTAGATGGCTGTTTTATGGCCAGAACTTCTGGGAACCGTACAGAGACAGCTGATTTGAGCTCAGCTCAGGCTTCCCACAAGCTTTCTGGCGCTGCCCCCCAGAAGGATGTGGCTGCTGCTGTGCTGCTTGTGTGCTGTTATCAAGGCAGCAGCCACTGTCAGGGCACTCTGAAGAATGAGGTCTGTAATAAGTCACCCTATACTGTGCTAGTCTTGCTTACTAACTATAGCAAGATTATCTCTGGAGGGCATTTAAGTAAGTCTCTAAGGTCTCTTTAGGGCTGCTGGGCAAAGTGATCTCACCTTTTCTTTCCTTTTCTTTCCTTTGAAGTTGCAACAACTTGCTGCACTACAGGGTATTTATCAGGGCCAGAGACCTGAGTAGAGTTAACATGGCTTGCAGAAGCCCACTGCCTGTTCCCTTAGGGCCCTAAGCAGTGGCTAGAGAACTGTTTCACTAGCTTTCTCCAAACCCCTCTGTAACGAACAGACACCCACTAATTTCCACCTCTTTATACTCATGCCTTTATGCAATTTCTTCCCTTTTAGAGTAGGCAAAATTTCTGAATTCCTTATAATCAATGGTATGTGGCAAAAGTTATGGGATGTTACTACCATGGTTGTCTTATATTATGTGAGGCCTTCTCACTGGAATAGTCTCCTTCTCCTGTGGCCTTGAAGAGGCAACAACCATAGTGTGAACCACCTATTAAGAGGTTCATGTAGCAAGAAACTTCAGGCAGTCTTCAGGATCAGAGGCCTAGGTCCTACACAAGCAAGGAACTGAATTCTACTAATAACCTAAGTTAGCTTGAAAATGGACCCTTCCCTACTCCGACTTTCACATGAAGACTCATCCCAGCTGGCACTGTGAGTTCATTATGGAGAGATCGTGAAGGAGAGACCCCATTTAAGCTGGGTCTAGACTTCTGATCTGCAGATACTGTAAGATAACAAATGTTATCTTACATTTATCTTGCTACTGAATTTGCAATAGCCTATTTTTATGCAGCAAAGAAAGCTAATGCAACTTTTATGTGCATGAGTAAAATACTGTACAATAATATAATATTTATTTATAATTGAATTGAAAATGTTAAGGACTGTGATTATTCTATTCTATTAATAGAATAGATTATTCTATTTCTTAAAACAGAGTTAATTGTTTCAAAAGTAAATTAATATGCATTCTTAAAATTATTTATCTCAAGTCAGAGAAAAGAATCCAAGAAAAAAATAATATATACCACTCTGTGTCAGTGCATATGTTCCATAAAATAGCAGAAGTTATTACAAATATACTATTATTTAATTCTCTTAATATCACTGCCAGGTAGGTCTTATAAGGGCCACTAGGTGGCTGTGTCATCATTATGTAAAATTCCAACTGTTTTCAGAATGCAAGTTTGTAGCCATTCAATTATAATATTCATCCTCTACACCAAGGGGAGGGAACGTTTTCTTTATGTCATCTGCAATAGCATACTTGTCATAAAGTGTTTCCATGTCCTTCTTCCTCATTTATGACTATATATATTCAGAATATCAATTTACATTTGATGGCACCTAAAGTTTTTCTTAAAACTCCTGCAGATCAGTGTTTCCTGGGCTCTCCCTTCTGTCCCCATCTCCTGGGAAATCGGCTGCTGCCTTCTCCATGGTGGTGTGGTGCAGAGGAGTGAGCACAGGTACTTAGTAACACAGGCCTGGTATTAATCCTGCCTCTTCTACTCAATATCTTTGAGACCATCAGGAAAACTCTAACAGTTTATCAACTCCTTCAACCCCTTTATATAAATTTATCCTTAGCCAGGCATGGTAGCTCACGCCTGTAATCCCAGCACTTTGGGAGGCCAAGGCATGTGAATCACCTGAGGTCAGCAGTTCGAGACCAGCCTAGCCAACATGGCGAAGCCCTATCTCTACTAAAAATACAAAAAAAACTAGCCGGGTATGGTGGCACGTGCCTGTAATCCCAGCTATTCGGGAGGCTGAGGGAGGAGAATCACTTGAACCCAGGAGGCAGAGGTTGCAGTGAGTCGATATTGCGCCGTTTTAGTGAGCCGAGATCATCCCATTGCATTCCAGCCTGGGCAACAACAGCAAAACTCCATCTCAGAAAAAAAAGAAAAAAGAAAAAAAAGAAAAATCTCTTTTTTATGATATTTGTACAGACTATCTTGGATAATGTTCATATGTGTATATATATTTATACATATTATATGTATCTATACCTGTATGTATAGATATATGAATGTGTATACATGTTCATATCAATCTCAAGCCAAGCACTTTCACACTATTCCTCTTTCTTCAAAGTCCTGCAAATCTTGATGTGAATTCTGTACAGTGGCATAACCTGCCCTAATTTATAATGAATACCTGATGGTTAATTTTACATGCTAATTTGACTGGCCATGGAGTGTCCAGATTAAACATTATTTCTGGTTCTATTTTTTAGAGTATGTCTGGTTTTATTTGTAAGGGTGTTTCCGAAAAAGATTAGCACCTGAATTGCTGGACTCAGTAATGTCTGCCTCTCCAAAGCTTGCCTTCCCCCAAGTTGCTGGACATCATCTAATCCATAAAGGACCTGAGTAGGAGAAAGAGTCGAGGAATAAGATATTTGCTTCTTTTCCTGCCTCAGTGCTTGAACTGAGACATGTCACCTCATCTTTTTCTGCCTTTGTACTGGCATTTATACCATCAGCTCCCTGGTTCTTAAGACTTCAGAGCCACACTGACTTATATCACCAGCTTTGTGGGTCTCTGGCTTCCAAATGTCAGATAATGTGAAGTCTTAGCCTCCATAATCAAGTGAGCCAATTCCTCATAAATATGTATCTCTTATTGTTCTGTTTCTCTGGAGAACCCCGACTAATACAATATACTTCTTTAAGAATGTTTTGTGTCTTTGCTATCCTAGGTAGTTCTACTACTCATCCTGTGTTTGAAAAAAGACTTTAAAAAAAAGAAAAAAAGTACATAGGATGGTAAATGCAATGGTGCACTCAAGTGCTTCATTATGAGAAAAACATCTGAACAGCATAAGGTCATCTCTTATCAAGGACAGCTAGGCCTAGACATGACCTTCTTTACTGGACATATGGAAACTCATATTCCCTGCAGCCAGATTTTGGAAACTGAAGAATGAGACTTTAGTAGAGCCAAGTATTGTTTTATTGAAGCAAAAAGAAAACAGAACAAAAACAAAAAATTGTTTCCCAAGACATTGCAATGGCTGACATTTTTTCAGTAATAATCAGAACGATATTTATGTTTATATTTAAAATTCATAGAAAAGTGCCTTACATTTAATAAAAGTTTGCTTCTCAAAGTTATCAGAGGAATTAGATACAATCTTGAACATCAATATTAATTTGAGGAAAATACACCAAAAGCATTAAGTAAACTATTTAAGATCATAGAGCTTGTAAGTGAAAAGATAAAATTTGACCTCAGAAACTCTGAGCATTAAAAATCCACTATTAGTAAATAAATTACTACGGACTTCTTGCTTTAATTTTGTGATGAATATGGGGTGTCACTGGTAAACCAACACATTCTCAAGGATACATTATTTAGTGACGGATTCTTATGTACTTTGCTAGATATGAGTTTACAAGTTTCTCTTTCTTCAATCTTTTAAGGGGCAGAGTAAATGAGGAAGAAAAGAGACTGCAAAGGAATTACAGTAATACTCTTCTTTCTATAGGAGGGATTAGATGTATTTCCCTTGCAAATACAAAAAATATATATATTATTTACTACTAGTGAAACCAAGATACTAGGAATAATAATGTACAAGCATCTCTTGCAAGAAAGGGTAAGATTATTACAAGTTAAACTGTGACTTCCTCAAATTTATATGTTGGAGTTTTTATTCCCAATACCTCCGAATATTACCTTATTTGGAAATAAGGTCTTTGTGGAGAATATAATGTTAAAATGATTTCATTAAGGCATTAGCGGTGGGCCCTGAGCCAGTATGACTGGTGTCTTAATGAAAAGGGAAAACTTGTGCACAGAGATGTACATACAGACAATGTGAAGAGTCACAGGGAGAAGATGCTGTCTACAAGTCAAGGAGAGAGGCATGGAACAAAGCCCTTCCTTGCAGACTTCAGAAAGAACCAACTCTGCTGGAATCTAGATTTTGGATTTCCAGCCCACAGTAACAATACAATTACAGTTTAAATCAGCAGTCTATGATGCTTTGTTTTGGAAGCCCTAGCAAATGAATACAAAGACATTCTAAGTAAAAGAAGGGGAAAGAAAGGAAGAGATGGTCTCAGTGGAGATGAACTCAGGTGCAGAATCTGAATCTCAGCACAAGGGCTACTATGCAGAAATAGGTAAGGGAATGAGAACACTCAGGAGCTCGGTTGGCACAGGGTCATGGGGACTTGGCAGTTCCAAGGATTGAAATACGGATAAGCAGGTTGAGAAAAGCGACATCCAGAGAACTTGTAGATGAGTGCTCCATGGTTTGTGACATTGAAAAATGAGACAATGCCTGCCTCATAGTTTAGGAAAACCCCAACACGGCAGGGAGGCACAGCCATAAAGAGAGTCAAAACTTTGGGATCAGCCGAGGAGGAGTCCTCAAAAGCATTATATTCACATGTATTCTGTAATCCTATAACCCAGTAGCCATATTGAGGTCTGTATTTGGAATAAACATTTGCATAATTTACACTCGGATCAAAAACAAACCCAGAGCTCTTCCTTTTATTAGGACTACTTATTTTACTGTATACGCCCAGGATCCAGGCAATCTTTCCAGACACATCTACTTCCCAGTAATATTTCCCCGAAGAGAAATATTGGCAGCCCAAGACACCAAAATCAGAAAAATCACGTGGATTTGAATTCTTAAATGTGAAGGTGCGTACAGTTGCCACTTGTCTCTGATCCACAGAAACAGCAACATTCGAAATGGTACTGTTTGGATTCAGCATCACGTCCACTGTAGAAAAAATTACAGAGTCAAGTGAAGAATATGGGATAGGTGTGTCTTATGGCATTGAGAAGAGATATATTGAAAGTGGAACTTGTGTCGATATCAAATGGAACTTGTGCTGATAGAGGTTAGTAGGACGTTTAAGAACTACAGGGTATAAGCATGTTTGGGGAGGAACACATGAGACTCAGATTATGAGTTCTAAGAGTAACCACAATTCTGAAAGGAGGTGATTTGAAAACCCCATATCTTACCCCAGTAGCACTGGACATCTGTCAGCTCTGAAATGACAAAAGTTTCAGTGATGTTGTTAGAAGCAAATGAGTAAGTACTGACACTTGTCTCTTCTCCAGAGTAGGGAAAGGAAAGGGGAATACTGGCATTCTATGCACTGGTGAATGAGAGGATGAATCAGACACCTGGTCATTCCCCCTAAGATAGGACCACATCTACCGCATAGGATTTTCCTCCTTCTCTGGCCCACCTCCTCTCCTATGTCCTAACCTAAAAAAACCACCTGCTTTCCTATTGAGCCCTGATACTAAGAAATCCACACTCAGCCTTCCTCTGAATCCCCTTACCTTTGTGAACTTGCAACATCCTACTGAGATCTGGTGCTCTGAATACACTCTTCAGTTTCTTGGAAACAGGTTTTGGCTTCTTCAGTGTCCAGTTTTCACTCCTAGTGATAACAAAAATTGATAACCTTTACAGCTTTCCCTATTTCTCTCATTTCTCTCCATCCAAGATCACTGTCTCTCTCACCTTTCACCATACTTACTGATGCACTTGGACCCTCTTCCCTGAGGACAGTAGAGGGGAGACACCTGACACTGGAGCCCAGAGAAATGTGCTCAGGTCTACCTGTCTGCCCACTTCCCCTCTGTGTAACCTTGGGAAGGTCTTCACTCAAAGATGTTCATTTTCTTACTTCTAAAATGTAGTAATTAACCCCACGCTTTCTACCTCTTAAAAATGAATATAAAATTAGATAAAATAATAATGCTTTTTTTTTTTTTTTTTTTTTTGAGACGGAGTCTCGCTCTGTCACCCAGGCTGGACCTCTTAAAAATGAAAATGAAATTGGATAAAATAATAATGCTTTTTGTTTGTTTGTTTGTTTCTGTTTTGAGACAGTCTTACTCTGTCGTCCAGGCTGAAGTATAGTGGAGCAACCTCGGTTCACTGCAACCTCTGCCTCCCAGGTTCAAGCGATTCTCCTGCCTCACCCTCCTGAGTAGCTGGGATTACAGGTGCCTGCCACCATAATTTTTTTGTACTTTTTTTTGTACTTTTGGTAGAGACAGGGTTTCACCATGTTGGCCAGGCTAGTTTTGAACTCCTGACTTCAAGTGATCCGCCCACCTCGGTCTCCCAAAGTGCTAGGATTATAGGCGTGAGCCACCACACCCAGCCAATAATGCTTTTAAAAGATATTCTGTGCCTCTAAGAAACTTATTTAATATTTAGAAAAGTCATTGCCATCTCAGTGGGTCCACCAGGAAGAGGCCAGAGATGTGGGTTCCTAGACAGGTGGTCATTAAAGAGGCCATAGAATCTGTCTACTGAGTGCTTGAGAGATATCAAAATGGAATCCTATATTGAAGAGCTAAAGGATTTCCAAAATCTGTTATCCCAATATGAGACCTAGAGAATAATCTCTGAGGTTTCAAGTTCTTTGGGGAGAGAAGAAATTACGATGACCAAATTAATTAATAGTGGTCTGATTTTCATGTGTTTAAAAAAACTTTGATGCTGCCAAGTAGGTGGGCAATTTTAGACGCAAGAATATTATTTTTTCCTACAAGATAGTAAAGTATGTGAACAAGAAAAGGTTATATTAGCACCAGCCACTATTCCTCAAGATTCGAATATATTTTTTTAGAAATCTAAAAAGCACCACCTAGAAAGTTATTGTTTATTTTATTCTCAGGGAGGAAAATAAATATAAAGGCGCTGTCTCTGGAAAATTTGGAGTCTGGCATATAAAGAGGGCAGACCCTCACTGCAATAAGACAGGCATCTATGCAATATGGAAACAACAGAGACAAAGGTTTGAATAAAGTGAGTGAAATCATGGGGTTCTGATATTGCAAACTCTTATTCCTAAGGCCTCCATTGGCCCTAACTCTGTGACCTCGCAACACCTAAATTTCTTACAGTTGAAAACTTCACTCTGTGATTAGCAGTTTGGGACAATTTAATACAGTTTCCCAGCCTTGTGATTTTTTATGTTGTTCTGATTGAAGGAAGATATCTTTCAGGACTATAATTCTCTTTTCAGACAAATGAGACCATATCTTTCTTCCACATATACCTTTTCATGACGTCAATCACATCCTGGGGAAAAGATAGAAAACATAAGTCAAGATAGGGTTGCCAGATTTAGAACATAAAAGTGGCTAGTTCAATTTGAATTTGGGATAAACAATACTTTTTTTGTTTTATATATATGACCCTTGCAATATTTAAGATACTCTTATACTAAAACTATTACGTTTCTTTTATCTGAAATTAAACTTAAACTGAGCATCCTGTATTTTGTCTAGCAATGCTTAAGAGTGATAAGCCCTCCTGTCTTACAAAGTTTTATCCACTTTCCTCCCCACACTCTTACTACCCCTGGATATGGTGGGAATAAATAGATGGTCACAGACTGGGGCCGAAGTGTGGAGACAAGATTCAGACTGACCACTGCAGAGGACTCAGATGAGGGAGTTAGGAAGATGCTTCAAGTATCTCAAGAAGGAATATATTTAAAAAAGAGGGAGAAATTCTAATATTTTTATACATATTAATTAGATAACCTCATTAATTCATTGTGTTTTTATTTTATACATCAACAGACACAAAATGGCGAAATATGTTTGCCAGATATTTTTTCAGGTTTTAGGGGTTCAATGATGAAAATTAATAATCAAAGTCCTTAAGAAGTGTGCTGTTCCCATGAGAGTAAAAGCAAGCAAGCATCTCAAGTAAAAGTTTGTCTGGCCTCCATGTACTCACTCTACATGCGACTAAACCCTACTGTAGGTGATCTCATCCATTTTTCAGTATGAAACAAGCCACAGGAGCAAGTAACTGTGTAGGTCTTAAATGTAACTTACTATTTCCCAACTATTTACACCCCACTGTCCAGAATAGTATCAATATCCACTTAGTCATCATCTTAGAAACTATAACATTTTATCCTGGATTCCAACATTTTATTAACCTAGACTAGTTTCCATTTTTAACTGTTTTTAGCTGTCTTTTCTTTCTCACCATGACCTTTATTTCCTTTATTTTTTTGAACAAATATGTGCCAATGTATTTGGTCTCCCTGCTGTCTGATCTGACCTCCTTTATACCAACAAAGAATTGACCTCCAGTTGACTTCACACCCTCAGAAATAGTTTCACTGCCTGTATTAGCTTTTTTGTTGTTATAATGTCTGACAAAACCCAACTAAAACTGGTTTAAATTTTAAAAAAACAAATTCAAGGGGTTAAGTATAATTTTACTCATAGCTGGGTTTTTAAACTAAAATCTTGCCATCAGAATCTGGTTTTTCTTCTAAAAATTATATTTTATACCTAGTATATTGACTTATTTTCAGATTAATTATGGCATCAGCTTGATTTTCTTGGTTTAAATTATTATCCCTGATATGATACCCATCAGAAAAGACAAATTCTCTTTTTACTCATGACGGTAAAATTCTAAGGCATGCAAACTATTGACCCCAATTGAGTCAAGTATATATCGTAAAATAATAACTGTAAGCTTGGAAAAAATATAAGAATTGGCTATAATGATTTACCAGAACTGAGTAACATACATGCCTAATGCTACTAATTTTGTCTACTTTAACCAACTACAGGGAATGAGATAGGGTAGTGATGGTTCCTCAAAAGTTATTGTAAAGAAACAATCAAAAGGAATAGAGGTTGGACAAACAAATGTTGTCCTCTATGGTCCATTCCTCAGCTGTCTGCCACCTCTTCACCCTTATTACCAAACTGTTTCCAAAAAACGGCACAATATAATACAATGGCTACAATAACATTAAAAATAGATAATTTATACCATATAACCACTATAACTAAAAATAAATCAAAGACCTAAAGCTATAAAACTCCTAGAAGAAAAAGGGAAAATTGTATGACATTGGATTTGGTAGCTATTTGTTGGCTATGATATAAAAAGTAAAGCCAATGTGAGAAAAAAATAAACAAACAGACCTTTACCAATATCAAACTTTAAAAAAATCACTCTTAAGTTATGAAAAACACTATGAAGAGAGTGAAAAGCCAATCCATAGAATGGGAAAGCATAGTTACAAATCATATGTCTAATAAGGTATTAATATCTAGAATCTGTAAATGACTCCTACAATTCAACAAGAAAATCAACATCCATTCAGATAAAATGGATGGTTTCTCAACAAACTGGTAATAAAAGAGAACATCCTCGAAACTGATAAGAAACATGTATAAGTAATATACGGCTAATATCATAATTAATAGTGAAAGTCTGAATTACTTCCTCCTAAAATCAAGAAAAAGACTAGTGTGTGTGGTTTCACCACTACGGTCAACATTGTAGTGGAAGTTCTATCAAGTGCAATAAAAAAACACACACACAAACACACATAACAACAAAAAAGAAAGATAAAAAAGAAAAAAGGAAAAATAAAAGGAAATAAGACATCTAGCATGAAAGAGAAGTAAAACTATATTTGTTTGGTAGAATGATTTATTTTCCTTTGCGTATATAACCAGTAGTGGGATTGCTGGGTCTAACAGTAGCTCTGTTTTAAGTTCTTTCAGAAATCTCCAGACTGCTTTCTACAATGGCTGAAATAATTTACATTTCTACCAACAGAGTACATGCTCCCATTACTCTGTAGCCTCACTAGCATCTGTTAATTTTTGACTTTATAATAATAGCCATTCTGACTGTTGTGAGATGGTATCTTGCTGTGATTTTGATTTGCATTTCTCTCGTTATCAGCAATGATGAATATTTTTTCATATGTTTGTTGGCAGCCTGTATGTCTTCTTTTCATAAATGCCTGTTCATTATTTTGCCCATTTTTAATGGGACACTTTGTTTTTTTGCTTGCAAAGACATGGAATCAACCCAGGTATCCATCAATGGTAGACCGGATAAACAAAATGTGGTACATATACACCATGGAATACTACACAGCCATAAAAAAGAATAAAATCATGTTCTTTGCAACATCAATGCAGCAGGAGGCCATAATCCTAAGCAAATTAACACAGGAACTGAAAATCAAGCACTGCATGTTCTCACTTATAAGTGGAAGCTAAATATTGAATATACGTGGACATAAATATGGAAATAATAGACACTACAGGCTACACTAGGGGAGGGAGGAAGGGTGTGTGGGCGGAAAAACTACTGATTGGGTACTATGCTTATTACCTGGGTGATGGGATCTGTATCCCAAACCCTTTGCATGTAACAAACCTGTACATATACTCCCTGTATCTTAAATAAAAGTGAAAATTTAAAAATTAACTATATTTATTTACAGATAGCATGATTAGGTATGTAAATGATCTCAAAGAATATACACAGAAACACACAACTACTAAAACTAGTAAAAGTTTAGCATGTGGAATAAATATTAAAGTTTTGAAAGAATAAAATCCATGATTCAAGAATTTTATATTCAGAAATTTTGTCCTGCAATAATGAAGAAATACTTTGCCATAAATGTTAAAAGACGTTTGGGGGAAGAAAAGATTATATGTCTGAAATTCAGATCTTCACAAAGAGAGAACGAGCACTGAAAAAGAAATAAAAATAAAATAAAATATTTTATTTTTCTTATTCTCAACTAATATATAAGATAATGATTTAAAGTAATAATATCAACAATGTGGCAGGTGATTACAGCTTATGGATAAGTGAAATGGATGACAGCAATGTTACGCAAGATTGAGGATACTCTGCTCTAAGGTACCTGCACTACATGTGAAGGGGTATAGTGTTATTTGTAAGTAGACTTAGATTAGCTGTAAATGCGTATTACAAACTCCAGGGCAAGCACTAAGCCTTTATATATATATGTATGGTGTTATCTATATTTTTTAAATATATTTTTATATATTTATAAAATGTTTATTTTTTAATATTTTTATACTTCAATATATATGTATGTTTTATATTTATATATACCTTTATGCATATTAGTTATATGTAACTAATATGTTATGTATATTAGTTATGTATATGATATATAACTAATATAGTTATATTAGTTATGTATATTACTAATACATAACTAATAAGCTAAGAGAGGAAAGAAAATTGAATAATATGAAATACTCAATTGAATAATACAAAATAGTTAAAAGTAAAAGAGGGCAGAAAAAGGGAGGAAGGGAGAAAAGCAAAGAACCAGTAGAGTAAATAGAAAACAGTCAAAAATGGTAGGTGTTTTAATTTTCTGGGATTGCTGTAACAAAGTAGCACAAACTGTATGGTTTTTAAACAACTGAGATTTATTCTCTCACAGTTCTTGAATCTAGATCCAAACTCCTATAGCTAACATCAGGAAGTGAGAGACTGAGTACTTTCCTCCTAAGGTCAGGAAAAAGGAAAGGATATCCCCTCTCTCCATGCCTACTGAACATTGTACTGAACATTGTACTAGAAGTCCTAGTTAGTGCAATAAAATAAGTAAAGACACATGAAAACTATACAAACTGCTGGCCGGGCGTGGTGGCTTATGCCTGTAATCCTAGCACTTTGGGAGGCCAAGGCGGGTAGATTGCCTGAGCTCAAGAGTTCGAGACCAGCCTGGGCAACACAGTGAATCCCTGTCTTTACTAAAATATAAAAAAAAAATTAGCCAGGTGTGGCGGTGTGCGCTAGTCCCAGCTACTTGGGAGGTTAAGGAGGGGGAATTATTTGAACCCAGGAGGTGAAGTTTGCAGTGAGCTGAGATCATGCCACTACACTCCAGCCTGGGTAACACAGCAAGACTCCTTCTCCAAAAAAAAAAAAAGAAAAGAAAAGAAAAGAAAACTATACAAACTGCAAAGTATGAAATAATTAACTTTATTCTCAGATGACATGATTTTCTATGTAGAAAATGCCAAAGAATTGACATTTTAAAAAAAAACTCTTCTATGACTAATAAGTAATTATAGCAAGGTTGCAATATACATGATTAAAACACTAAAGTCAATTTCTTTTCTATGTGCCAGCAATGAAGAATTGAAATTTGAAATAGAAAAAATCACAATAGCACCAAAAATAAAAAATAGGATAAACTCTAAAAAGAGATGTACAGAATCTACATGTGGAAATAATAAGATTTTCAGCAGTGTTAGTTTTTAGGAAAAAGCAATTAAAACTACATTGAGATACCATTACATTCCCACTAGAAAGGCTGTAACTAAACAAAAATAAAAAAAAAAAAAGAAGGAAATATCAAGTATTAAAAAGGATGTGAAGAACCTAGAAACTTTTTATATTACTTTTTATAAGCTTTTATATTGTTACTCATATAGAACGAGTAATGACTTTGGAAAATAGTACAACAACTTAAAAATTATACATAAACTTAACATATAACACTCTTAAAATCTACTCAAGATAAATGAAAACATGTTTGTATGAGGACATGTAAGTGAATGTTTACTGTAGCATTATTCATAATAGTCTCTAACTAGAAAATATTCATATAGCCACCAACTGGTGAATACACAAACATAACATGATTTATTCAGATAATGGAATAGTATTAGCAATAAGAAAGAGCAAAATGCTGATATACTGCAATATAAATAAACCTCAAAATATTATGCTAAATTAAAGATGCCAGATGCAAAAGACTACATGTTGTATAATTCAATTCATATTGAAAGGTCCAGAGAAGCCAATTCTATACAGACAGAAAACAGATTGGTTGCCAGGAGGTGGAGGTAGAAGCAGATACTGACTGTAAACAGGCATGAGAAATGTTTTTGATGTGATGGGGAAGTTCTAAAACTAATTTGCTCGTGGTACAAAGAATCTTCTCTCCAAGCTCAAATTTTTACACTGCCTCTCATAAGTAAATAATAATGGGAATTTCCCTTGCCACTCATACACTTAATTATCTCTGTGACTCCTGAAATGATGGGCATAAAAGGGGCACTGCCGGACCAAAGGAACCATTTAATGTCACCCCACAGAAGAAAACCTAGAGACTGGGAAGGGAAGGAAAATCAGCCTCTGTGTTTTCCCCCTAATCTCACATGTAGGTGCTCCATCCCAAGTCTTACCTGCAGCATCTCTATTGACGACCCCCTCAACCTCCGCTGGAGATCTGAGATGAGCTTGCTGGCATCCTGCCTCTGCTGGACCAGCTGGTCGCTAGCTGCTGCCAGGTTATCCAGCACATTCACTTCACCTTCCTCCAGCTTTTGCAGCTCTCTCTGCTCCTCACTGTCCAAGATGACTCTCATTTCATTGAACCCTTTCAGAATTTTCTGTCTCTCGATCTGGATATAATTCTTGGGAACGAGAAGAGAAAGAGGCAGTCAGTCTGACTGGTTGAAGGCCTGCTTTGTATGAGCCTGGGAGCCAGGATAAGAACTGTTTTCCTCAGGGAGTTCTCAAAAGGAATACAAGGCAAAAGCCAATACACAATTTCTGGTGAAGCCATGCTTTTCTATTTTTTAACCGGAACTCCTTCCAAAGCAATACATTCAAGTCTTTTATTGAGGCCTAATCTGAGACAAAATGTGATGCTTGGGTGAGGCTTGGATTATAGACACCTGTCCTGAACAACCTGGCCTTTCTCTCTCTTAAATACCTCTACCTGGTCGGGCACAGTGGCTCACGCCTGTAATCCCAGCACTTTGGGAGGCAGAGGTGGGCGGATCACGAAGTCAGGAGATCAAGACCATCCTGGCTAGCATGGTGAAACCTCATCTCTACTGAAAATACAAAAAATTAGCCGGGTGTGACGGCACGTGCCTGTAGTCCCAGCTACTTGGGAGGCTGAGGCAGGAGAATCGCTTGAACCGGGAAGGCAGAGGTTGCAGTGAGCCGAGATCACTCCACTGCACTCCAGCTTAGATGACAAAGCGAGACTCTTGTCTAAAAAAAAAAAAAAAAAAATTCCCCTACCCAAACCACCTAAACAGGGAATCCTGGGTCTTTCCTCAGGTTGTTTACTGGAAGGATTGGAGCCTCAAACTTGATGACACAAATGGAACACAGGATTCACAGGAAGCATTTTCACAGGTATTTCCCTCCATGCCTTCACTTCCAAATATTGTGTTGATTTATGATATGTCTGCTCTCCAGCCCCCAAACTCCATAGGGAAGGAATTAAATGAGACCTAATCAAATGACTTCTATAATTGTTAATTCTAGCACAGCAAAGGGGAAGTGGTCTCCTTGTGATAGAGCCCAAGGTCCTGCCCAGATTCCTGTCTAATTATCCCTTAGGTGTCTCCTCCTGCCTTCCAGATGGTTCTCTCTTGTCTGATGTCATCTTCCAGCTTCTCAGCTTCTTGATCCTCCTTTGTCAGCTTCTGCAGGGCTGCCTGCAGCTTTTCCTGTGAGAAAGAAATTATACCAGAGTAAAGTTATGAGTTTTCTCAGCACCTGGATAGAGGATAGCGAGGAAGAAATTGAATGGCTCTCAGAAGGGACTAGTTTACAGAAACAGTGAGGCTGGTGATTAGAACCTATGGCATGGGGGAAAACCTGAGGAGATGAACGTATTCCTTATTACTGGATGATGGAAGTTACCATCCCCTTATCAAGAGTAGCCTGATTCTTTTCCTAGAGAAAAAGCAGACCCTGCATTAAGGAAAGACTTCCTTTCATTGCCACTCTTGCCACATCTAACAAGATATGTTCCCAAAAACACCTTTCTTCTCAGAGTGGCAATTAAAGCTTATCTTACAAAGCAATTCTCCATTCATTCAAGCGTTTCTTGCTAAAAATTTGTGCTCTTTTAAATAAAAACAATGTGCAGCACTGTCCTTCAGGCTTCAGAAACTAAGTAAAGTTTGTAAAGAGATCACAAACTAAGTAAAAAGTTTGTAAAGAAATCTGAGAGATTGTAAAGATCTCTCAGTTCTATGGTGAAAAGGGGAACAAAGCAGGACAAAAAACGTGGAGATTTCACATCAGGTACCATCTTCTGCTCTCTGCTTTCTCTTCTTCTACCTTGGAGCCTACCTGACATTCCTTGACCACCTCGTTTATGCGGAATGTTTGGTGACCTTGGTGTTCCTGAGACAGTTCACAAACCCAGCAAATGACTTTTCCATCTTCCTTACAGAAGATCTGGAGTTTTTTTCCATGGTGCTCACAGATGTCTCTCTTCTGCCCCTCCTGTGGGCTCATCTTGACCTCCTTGACTCTCTCAACTATGTTGGCCAGATGCCGATTAGGTCGGAGCTTCCCAGGCTGGAATCTGCTCTGACACACAGGACAGCTGCTTTCTCCTCTTGAGATGGTCACTGACTCCTTGATCTTTGCAGTGATGCAGGCTTGGCAGAAGCTGTGGCCACAATCTAGGCTCAGAGGTTCTGTTAGGAGCTCCAGGCAGATGGGGCAGGTCACCTCCTTCTCTATGTCTACCTTTACTGAGAAATCCATTGCACTGCTCCCTTGGCTTCTTTCTGTCTTGACTCTTGAACTTCTTGGTCAGAAAATCCTGCAGTGCTGGGAATGTTGAAGGGGACAGGGTAAGAAAAGCGGGAATGGAAAGAATACTGCTTTTACAGAGATTTAGAACAGGACAAAAAATCAATATTTAACAGAGAAAGGAGAAAAGAAAGGCAAGAAGAATAAACCAATGACAGAATAAAATGGACTTTGTAGTAATTTGAAACACTTTATTCTTAATTTTTGTCTCAGGACAAATTTCACCCCATCAAGGCAATTATTGTTATTTTCTCTTCTACTGGAGAGGACAAACTGAAGCTTTTCTACCAAGAGGTTCGTGTAACCCATCATTTATCCTGCCTTTTGTTCCCCAACCCAAAACATATTTTCCACGTTAAATGCACTAAGCACACCGCTGCCCCTGGGCTTTCGCACATGCTTTTCTCTCTGGATGACGTGATTGTATCTCTAATATTTGCATGATTCACTAATATTTGTGTATTTTTAAGCTACTGAGTTGCATTTATATAGCATCAAACACTCTCATTTTTAAGTGTATAATGTGATAATTTCTACTAAATTTGTGGAACTATATGACTGTTACTGTAACCCAATTTAAAATTATTTTTACAGCCGGGCGCGGTGGCTCAAGCCTGTAATCCCAGCACTTTGGGAGGCTGAGACGGGCGGATCACAAGGTCAGGAGATCGAGACCAACCTGGCTAACACGGTGAAACCCCGTCTCTACTAAAAAACAAAAAACTAGCCGGGCGAGGTGGCGGGCGCCTGTAGTCCCAGCTACTCCGGAGGCTGAGGCAGGAGAATGGCGTAAACCCGGGAGGCGGAGCTTGCAGTGAGCTGAGATCCGGCCACTGCACTCCAGCCTGGGCGACAGAGCCAGACTCAGTCTCAAAAAAAATAAAATAAAATAAAATAAAATAAAATAAAATTATTTTTACCACCTGAAAAAAAAAAAAAAAAAAAAAAACCCTAATGCCATTACTCCTATTCTGATCCGAAGCTCCAATCACTAATATCCTTTGGGTTTTTAATCAATTGATAAAAATAGAATCATAATATATGGTCTTTAGTATCGGAATTATTTTACTTATACTGTTAAGGTTTATCTCCTCTGCTTTTTCCACATGTAAAAAACACCTCCTCAATTAAACTATCAAATCTATGACTCCTCAAGGCTTTTGCACTTGCTCCTCTCTCTGCATAAAATGATCCTTCCCCTGATGTTAGCAAGAGTCATTCTTACATTTAATTCAATCTCTTAGATGTCCTCTTCTTAGAAGGACATACTATAACTTACTTATAGCAAAACCACCAGTACTATCACTCACTGCACATTTATCTTCTTATTTTTACTATGTAATATATAAGATTGTTCTTTAAATGTCTACTTCTTCCTCCTGAAAAGTAATCCATTCATAGACATGGGACTGTTTTTGTTCACTGATATGTCCTCTATACATAGAAGAGTGAATCACATACAGGAATAAAATGTTGAATGAATATTTAAAGCTACAACTTTCTTATCCCTCCATAGATGATTAGACCTTTTAATCAGATTTTCATCTTTTCTTTCCATCAATTAGCAGTTTCCCAATAGCTGAGCTTTGGGACCATGATTATGGTTTCCAGTGAAGAAGAGTTCACATCCTAACACATCTACCCATAGCAAGTCCTCCCATGACCTCACACTCACTCCCCAAAGACATACACGCACACCCACACACCACCGCAACCACCACCACCGCCACCATCACAATAAGAAAATAATTTTATCATGAAGAATTTTATAACCAGTTACAATTTAGAAATAATTTTGACTTCTTTATTCTTCATACAAAACCCTCGAGAAAGAAGAATACTCCCTTTCTTCAGGTGTGTCAATAGAATTAAGCAACTTACAAAGATCACTCATTCTAATCTAATAGGTAGAGTAAGAGTGAATGTATCGTCTCCAAGGTCCTCCTTCAGAATTCTCTCTACTACCGCACAGATTTAGACAGACAACAAAGGTAAAGGTTACAACAGCTATACTGATACCCAGTGCTATGGGGGTATAGAAATGGAGAGATCCAGACCAGCTATGTAGTTCTGGGGCATGCTGTGGTTTTAAATGTTGAAATTTCACCTTGGCCTGGACATATGGCTAGGATGGTGATAGGAACCTAAAGATGCATATCTTTAGGGAAGAGGAAAAGAGGCTAAAATAGTTATAGGATCACACACGTGACATAGACTCAATGAATATACTTTTTAAAGAAACATCTGTTGGTCATGGGAGAAAAGTCTCTATCCATAAAGGAGGCCAAGTATATTGAGAATATGTAGCGGAGGGATAAAGTCTGTCCTGTTTCTCCCCAAATGATGCTGGAATCCTAATGTGTGAATGTCCTTTTATTTGCAGATAGTATATTTAAATACTATTTAGTTACCATGTGTTCATTAGGATAGACCCTTATCCAACATGACTGTATCCTTATTAAAAAGGGACATTTACACACAAGGAATATGCTAGGGTGAAGAAGAAAGCAGAGATCAAGGTGATGCACCTATAAGCCAAGGAATGCTAAAGGTTTCCAGGAAACTATTAGAAGCTGGAAGAGAGGCATAGAGCAGATGCCTCCTTCATAGCCTTCAGAAGGAGCCAGCCCTGCCAACACATTTTATCTTGGATAACTAGCCTCCAGAATTGTAAGGCAATATATTTCTGCTATTTAAGCCAACCACTTTTGGTACTTTTTCTACGACAGCTCTAGAAAACTAATACAAGTGCTTATTTTTCTTGATTTATTCATTCTTTATTCTAACATTGAAGAAATGTAGCCCCATTGAAACCCTTCCAACCTAAGACAGGTAAACAGATAGACACATAAACAAAATGCATGCTCCCCTTTAAAGGTGGTACAAATGTAGGAGTTTTTATGACACGGTGAAGGCTAACTAGGTCCATAACTTCCTTATTTCAGAATACTCTGATTACCTGCACAGAAGCTTTCCGTATGTGTACGATTTAGATTAAAAAAAAAAATGGTCAGGCGCTGGGGCTCAAACCTATAATCCCAGCACTTTGGGAGGCTGAGGCAGGCAGATTACCTGAGGTCAGGAGTTTGAGATCAGCCTGGCTAATATGGTGAGACCCTGTATCTACTAAAAAAAAAATACAAAAATTAGTCAGGTGTGACGGCAGTTGCCTATAGTCCCAGCTACTTGGGAGGCTGAGGCAGGAGAATCGCTTGAACCCGGGAGGCAGAGGTTGCAGTGAGCTGAGATCACGCCACTGCACTCCAGCCTGGCAACAGAGCAAGACTCCATAAATAAATAAATAAATAAATAAATAAATAAATAAATAAATATTAAATTAAATTAGAGTAGCTACACAATAAGGAGAAAAACTGCTATAAGGAGTTTAGCCACCAATATCTTTTTTTTTTCCTTTTTTGAAACAAGGTCTCACTACGTTGCCCAGGCTGGTCTCAAACTCCTGAGCTCAAGCGATCCTCTTGTCTCGGCTTCCCAAAGTGCTGGCATTTTTGGCTAGGCATTGGCACGAGCCACCATGCCTGGCCTAGCCAACATCTTTTAAATATCCCCTGTTCCTTGGGTCAGGAACTACCAATGGAGAAAATAGTTCCTGTTCTTGGCATGCAGAAACCTGTAGAACTTAGAAACATTGTTACCACTTCCTATTTGTCTAAACTCAGAGTTCCTTTTTCAATGGCCCATTAAAATGTCCAGGGTTTAGTTTTCCCTACATTAATGACCCTTTTTCCAAGAGTTCTAACTCTCTGGTCAATATGTTTCAGATAAGTCATTTTGTAACAGAGGACAAATTTCATAAAGCTACTCCAGTTTCATCTCTTTCTTTCACAGCTAGTTCATCAGTTCTTAAATTCATCATTTTATTGAAGACTCTGCTCAAAATCATTTTCTCACAGTGAGACCTAATCTGAAATCTATATTTAAAGTTGCAAAGCCCTTGACAAGAGCACTGCAGATACCAGATCCTATTGCAGCCCTTTTAGTTTGTTGCTTTCGCTTTGTTGATTTTACATTTATCCTGTAGTAACTGCTACCTTTTTGCTACATTAAAACTGCTGGTTTGCTTCCTTTTTTTTTTGAGACGGAGTCTCGCTCTGTAGCCCAGGCTGGAGTGCGGTGGCACCATCTCAGCTCACTGCAAGCTCTACCTCCCAGGTTCAAGCCATTCTCCTGCCTCAGCCTCCCGAATAGCTGGGATTACAGGCGCCCGCCACCACGCCCGGCTAATTCTTTGTATTTTTGGTAGAGACGGGGTTTCACCATGTTAGTCAGGATGGTCTTGATCTCCTGACCTCATGATCCACCCACCTCGGCCTCCCAAAGTACTGGGATTACAGGCCTGAGCCACCGTGCCCAGCCTACTTCCTTTATTTGACTGCATGTTTACTTCCTTTTCCCTAGTCCAGAGTACAATCTCTTCCCAGTATTGTTTATTGTATATCAAATAGTTTCTTTTTTTTTTTTTTTACTCTAGCTGTATGCTTTTGTTTTGTGAATTTAGTCAAAAATATTTTTTAAAAATTAATAGTACAGTTTTATTCATTGGGCCCTGTACTAGATTTGAGTAGACAATTAATAAATACTAGATATGGACCTTGACAAGATGTACAGCACAGACACATAAGGAGACAGTTACCTGGACCTCTGAAAAATGAAACAAAGAAAAGGACGCATCAGAATATGGGTGACACAGGCATCAAGGTACAAAATTCTCAGTGATAAGATCAAGATAAGACTCAGGAGAAATTACCAACTCCTTGCCTTAACTCTGTGCAAGGGAAAAGTGAGTAGGGAGTTGAGGGAACTCATGATGAAAAGGTGTACCTAGAATAATAGCAACTTCTAAAGCAGGAGCAGATACCCAAGGTTCGTGGGGTGCTACAGAACTAAGAGTAAGCTGTGGGCTCTCAGAAGAACAAGTTCCCTGTGGCTGGACCTTCAGAGACAAGTGACCAAAGCGGAGCTGCAGAGATGAACAGCAGTCTGACCATTCCGCAACCTTTCTCATCAGACTAACCGGAGGGCTGCTAATTCATCAGGAAAGCTATGGACAGCATCTGAAAAGTTACCAGAAGGCAAGTAAAAGGATATGCTTCAAAAGGGCCTTCCTCCTGAAGAATGAGTACCTAAGACTCCTTCCCCTCATACCCAGATCCAGATAAGGGCTCTCATCCCTGCTGAACCTCATCATGAGGTTGCTTTATGAAAAATGAAAACAGCTTCATTGCACAAGCTTCTTCGGGAGAAAGGAGGAAGGAATTTGCTGCCTCTGAATAAGAGAATATTCTGATCCACGTTGGCAAACTGGAAAAATCAAAATGACAGAATAGGAATGTGGGATATGATAAGATTTCTCTTCAAATAGCCTGATCATTCCTTTCTTCTTTAATTCACAGTGCCCCCTCCCGCCCCCCATTTCCCGTTTCTTCTCTTTTCTTTCCTTTCTGCTTTTGCTACATGCCCAGACATGCCACAGTACCAGGCGTTATCAGTACCAACTCACATTCCTTTCCTTATTTTGGAAGAAGATTAGTTCTCTAGCTCATCGCAGACACCCCTTCCCCATCTCCCCACTCTCCCTCACGTGCTCATCTTATCTAAAGAAAGTTAAAATGTTTAGCCAACTGGGTCTAGTTTAGATTGTGTGGCTGACTCCAGCCAATGGGGAAATGACACAGGGGCAAGATTTGCATCAGGAATAAAAAATTTCTTCCTCCTTTGTTCTAGTGTGCTCTCATGGTGACTGGCCAAGAAGAAGCACCCGTCTACGCAGAAGTAAAATTGCTTTGCTGAGAAATCCTTTGTTTGAGTGCTCATCTCCCTTAAGATTCTGAGCTTTATTTCCAACAAGGAAGATGATAGAGGTACCTAGATTGAAGAAATGAATGGTCTCTCTAGGAAACAAACAAGACTTTTTGCTTTTGCAAACTTCTCTTCTTTAAAGGTTACCCCTCTCCCAGACTCAATGCTTTCTTCCTCTGCCATTTCAGCAGACAGTTCACAAGCTGCCTCTTTTTGTTTATGCAGAGCAGCTTCAGAACCACAAATTAAACTCACCCAGACACAATCAACCTATTCTTCTCAAAGCCTCCCATTCTATGCTCCCACAAATTGCCCCACTCACCTTCAGTCCAAAGTAGAGGAGTCTTGAATCAGGGGAGAAGAGTGAGGGCAGGGCAGGAGCAGGCGTGGACCAGATTCACTCACAGGAGCTGAGTGAGAAACGAAAGTTAAGTTCTCAGAAGTGAAAGAAAACAAAGGAAGCTGAATAGGAACTTACATAACAATAAGCCCTGGGGAATAGTAATGTTGCAGTATGTTCCAGCATCTGCTGTACCGGCAAGGCACTCAGTCACTACTTCCTTATTCTTAGTGTGGTTTCCTCAAGCAAGAATATTTGAATAAAAAGAATGTGAATTACAGTTATACATTCTACAGCTTGCCTGAACACTTAGAATTCCAACGCAGTCCTAAAATTATTATCGAATTTATCTTATATTTAAGACCTAAGCAAGGAAAATAAAGATCCAGAGACTTGGGACCTAGCTTCTTGAAATGCAGTCTGATGAGGAAGATATTCAGTTATAAAGCTCTGCAAATTTGGACTGACAAGATGAGTATTAGCAGCTGACATTGTGAATGGTAAAAATAAAATTATTTTTATAAATAAAAGGACCTTTAGTGTGAGCCCATTAAAAAAAATGTTCTCAAAATGTCATTAAATCTTAAAAGTTCATCAGTTAATTATCACTTCCTGCTCCTAATCCAGACAGGCCAGATGAGGATGGATTCCAGAGAATAATAGAGGTAAAACTGTGTCAGTGTCATGTTACCTAGCCACGGAGGCAGGTGAGGACATGGAAGTTAATGGATGATGCTGTTTAATTATAATCATTCACTGAGTTACTCTCATGCCTTCACAATTTTTCCACTTTTCCCTGCTTCCCTAAGAAAAATTTGGTCACTTTTACACAATCAATTAAAAAGTAGCACTGAAACATGTTATGTGTCATGCACATACTTCTGTGCCCTGTTGTCTATCATATTCTTGTTTGTTTAACTGCATGTGCCAGATAATGCCATAAAAAACTGATGGAGGCCCATAATGTCTCATGCCTGTAAACCCAGCACTCTGGGAGGCCCAGGTGGGTGGATCACATGAGCCCAGGACTTCAACGCCAGCCTGGGCAACATGGTGAAATCCCATCTCTAAGAAAAATTAAAAAAAAAAAAAAATAGCTAGGTGTGGTCATGTGCACCTGTAGCCCCAGCTACTGGGGAAACTGAGATGGGAGGATGGTTTGAGCCCAGGAGGTAGAGGTTGCATTGAGCCAAGATTGCGCCATTGCACCATAGCACTCCAGCCTGGGTGACATAGTAAGACCTTGTCTCTACAAAAAACAAACACAACACAACACACCACACACACACACACACACACCCCCAAAAAAGAAAAAGGCAGCCCATGGAGCTTCCATAACGTGGATCCCTGACTGACACTATGGAGCATGGCCATCTTCATACTTTAATCAATGATACACATGTAGGATGACTGAGAAATCAATGTTTATTATTTAAATAATAGGTATTTTGGTATTAATTGTTGCTCACAAAATAATAAGCTAATCCTGGCTATAAATTCTTTCCTACTCACTTATATCTATGAGGACCTTATTCAATCAGTTGAAAGCCTCAAGAGAAGAAAAAACTGACTTCTCCCCCAGAAGAGGGAATATTACCAGCAGGCAAACTTCAGGCTTGAGCAATAACATTGACTCCTTCTTGGATCCAGAGTCTCTTGGTCCACCTTGCAGACTTTGGATTTGCTAGTTTCCAAAATCACATGAGACATTTCTCAAGTCTCTTTCCAAATAAATTCATAGTTTAGTGATTCCATTGCTGTGATGAACCTTGACTAAGACAGGCATGAATGCAGAGAAATAAGCAAGAGATGTAATTTTAGGTATATTCCATGTTTGAATCGAATATCTTGTTGACATTTGTAGGGGAGTGAGGGCTCAGTGAGTGAATGTGTTTTTTTGGAGTGCACAGAGTGGAGTCCAAGTGTCAACCACAATGGACAAAGTGAATGAATTCATTTATCCAGAGACCTTTTCTCTGTCCTTTATTTCTTCCCTTCTCAGCACTTCCATAGATCTCATAGCCATCCTTTTCTTCTCCTCTGCCTTTGAACATCTGAACTGACCTTTCATCCTATTCTGATTTATCTCATGAAGTATTAATTGCAGCTGAGAGAAAGCAGTAGGAATATTAGGTCCTGACAAGATACCAGAAAACCTGGGCCAATAGGAAACCCGAATGCACCACACATAATTTGTCACCAGATTTGAGCATGTTGGCAGGCTCCATATTCTAACTTATGCTCTAAATTGTAGAAAATATAAATTGTTGTTGGGTCTCTGTGTTTTCTCTGTAAACCTTATGTATCCTGCTTTCCTGCTTGACGAGGAATCATGAAATATCTCCACCTTTGAGTCCATGGATGTTTAACATTTTTCTCCTCAAGAAAAGGAGCAAAGTAAGAGTAAATATGGTTAGAGTCTGAATAATAGGAAGAAAACAGAGAGGATATTTTTAAAAATCGTTTAAAATTTGTTTTAAAATTTACATAATTATTACTTTTTTTTTTTTTTTTCTGGGACAGAATCTCACTCTATTGCCCAGGCTGGAGTGTACTGGCACGATCTCAGCTCACTTCAACCTCCACTTTCCGGGTTCATGCAATTCTCCTTCCTCAGCCTCCTGAGTAGCTGGGATTACAGGCATCCGCCATTACACCCAGCTAATTTTTGTATTTTTAGTAGAGATGAAGTTTCACCATGTCGATCAGGCTGGTCTCAAACTCCTGACCTCAAGTGATCCACCCCCCTCGGCCTCCCGAAGTGCTAGGATTACAGGAGTGAGCCAATGTGAGAGTAATTATTACATAATAATTACTAATGCCACATAAGTATTACCAATTAATAATTAGTAATATTAATTCTCATTAATAATAACTGTAATTATTAATTGATTGTAATTATTATTAATAATAACTAATTATAATTATTACAGCCACATAATTATTACTAATGCCAGAAGAATATTTGAATTAAACTATGTGACACAGCAGTTATCTTTACAGCAAGAATAGAACAGAAATGTGACATCAAGATATTCAATTCAATTAAAATTAGATTAATAGCTATATATCTTCATATCTGTCTCTTTAAATGTTACTCCTTATATACACCATATTCTGGTAAATCTGAGGCAATAAAGAACAAAATGTAAAAACCCCCTACCTGACTTCATGAAACTTAGAGCCGTGGGGTGCAGTATGGAGGGGGTATGGGGTTACTGATGATGGGATTAAGTGATAACAGGCTGCCCACTACAGTGCTCCCCATTACCTTCTCCTCAGGCATTTTCATTTTCAAACTAAATACTCCTCTCTACCAGTGATCCTAGTTCCAGTGTGGACTTCCTGAGATGTTCCAGTAAAGGAAGGCTTAGAAGGGAGGCTATGGTACATGGACCACAGTTCAGCCTTTTGGACAAGTTTTACGTAGTAACCAGAAGAGAAGAGAGGAAGGCCTGGCCCTGCTCTGGGATGGAATAGATACTTTGAAAAAGACAACAAGGGGAAGTTGGAGAGTTCTTTGAAAGTTAATAGTTGAACTGCTGTCAGTGTAATAATGTGGTGTTTCTTCATGGCTCTCCAGATAAATTTCTTTTCTTTTTTTTTTCTTTAGACGAAGTCTCGCTCTGTCACCCAGGCTGTAGGTGCAGGGGCGTGATCTCCAGTCACTGCAAGCTCTGCCTCCCGGGTTCATGCCATTCTCCTGCCTCAGCCTTCTGAGTAGCTGGGACCACAGGTGCCCGCCACCACGCCCGGCTAATTTTGTGTGTGTGTGTGTGTTTTATAAGTAGAGACGGGTTTTCACCGTGTTAGCCAGGATGGTCTCGATCTCCTGATGTCGTGATCCGCCCACCTCGGCCTCCCAAAGTGCGCGTGAGCCACCGCGCCCGGCCCTCTCCAGATACATTTCTAGCATCCTGTCCTCTCTGGGTCTGGGAGTCTTAATAATATGACATCTCTTCTATCTGTAGCTCCTTTTCTGTTCATAGGTCCTGTAAGATTTTTAAGTCCAGACCAGAAATCTACTGCGATTCTCTAAAAATCATTAACTTTATTCTTCCTTCTCTTTGGGCCATATCTGTCACCCAGAAGCAGAACTCAGCTGCGAGATCAGGAGCAAGAGGAGCACTTTGGAAGAATTTCGATAAAGGGCACCTTTTCTAATTTTTAATGCTTGGTTGGGTTAATGAAAAGTTTCACTTCTGAAACTATGTCAGAAGTGGCATGATAACAAGATCCTGAGACTCAAGAGAAAAGGGAAATAGAGTGGGGATGCCTCTATTTCCCTTCACAGGCTCCTCCTGTGAACAGCACAGCTGCACAGCAGGCTGACTCATTCAGAGGGCGGGACTCAACCAGGCCCTACGTGGAGAAACGCCATTGGCCTGTAGTTTGTCTTTCACTTTCCTGCCCCGATGTGAGCAAGAATTTCCTGCACTTACTTCCTCTAGGAAAATTCCTTTTCGCAGATCAGGCCCCTGGATTGGTGAGTGAATCCTAACCATGTCTTTCCTGGCCTGCCTTCACTCTTCTCCCCAGACTCACTACTTCTGCACTGGTGTCTGAAGGTGTATTGAGTGACTTTGTGGAGGGCAGAAGTAAGAAGTCTTTGGGACAAAACTGAATTTACCTTGGTGAGTTTAACTTATCTGAAAAGCTGTTCGGGATGGGGAAAAGACACCGTTCACAGACGTCCTGCTGCCAGAGCTGACGGAGGGGAATAGAGCTGCCTGGTGGGCAGGCAGATTTGAAAGAAGGGAGAGCTTTAAAGTGAAGCGCTTTGTTTCCTGGAAGGCTGGTTATTTTTCCACGCTGACTCTCTCGCCATCGCCTCTCTATTCTATAATTTTTTATTGAACTTTGCTGTAGAGAGCCAGAATTCTCTTTCAGTGCCTTCTCCCAACAAGGGCAAAGACAGGGGCCTTGGAACCCTAATGATTTAATGCCTATCAGTGTGCTAATGCAGTATTTCTGCATAACTCGACAGGTCAGCTCTCATCACCTGGGCCTGTCTCTGTGGCATCACCTTGGTGGTGTGACAGCTGTCCAGCTCTGTAGCCCTGTCATTGTCACTGGTAAACAGAGTTATTTCCCTAGTTCATATTGGTTACAAAGATAATGGCAAAAAAAGGCAAGCAGGTTTTATTTCTTGCTGGGAGTGGAGAATAAGAGAACTCCTTCTCTAAAGCCCCCTCCCCCGAAACAGTGGAAAGCATGGGCTTTAAAAG